TATATATATATATATATATATAATACTGAATAATGCATTCTTCACTTAAGTCTACCCAATACAAGACTTTTCATCGACTATGAAATATTTCTCAATAAACGACAGAAATGAATGACGAAATTGTCTTGTAAGATTATGGTAGAATACAAGTTATATAATTGTTTTCTTGATGAAGCAAAAAATATTAGCATTTACGGGAGAAAAGACCCTTCCCTCCCTTTGTTACACAATCATTGTTAAATCTTCGTATGTCATTGAAGACCGTATCGGCTTTCCCCAACCTGCATTATTTGTTATTTTATTTTATTTAAACACATATATATTGGTACAAAAGGGCACCAGGTACATATGCGCCACACAAAATAATGAAAGTAGGAAGAGAAGGGATGAAAAGATGAGGAGGGCTGAAATGTACAACCAGAAGACTCTTTCAGTTAGGAAAGTTAGAACCATTCTTTATGTAGAAAGTAAAAGAAGGTTGCAGCAGGATCTCCACTGGCTTCTATTCTGAGCCATATCTGATAACGTCTCTAGCCACTGTGTTGCACTATCTCTCGGACCCCAACCAGGGAGTCGTGAAAGACCAACAAAAGCTAGCCCTTTGCAGCTCTATTTCATACGACGACACCATGTCATACACTGACCTCTCCGCTTTTTCCAACCAGTCCCAGGGTCGGCAAATAATGCACGACGTGGAACTCCCTAGGGGGACATTCGTAGAACATGTCCAAGCCACCGAAGTCGGTGTTTCAAGATGGTGACACCAATTGAATTATCGTCTCTGCGTCCGAACACACGATGCCGAACCTCTGCATTACTAACATGGTGTTGCCACTGGATGTCAGCAATCCTTCGGAGACAACGATGATCGAACACAGAGAGACGTCTAACATCCTCAACTCGGAGAGGCCAGGTTTCACAAGCATAGAGCAAAACTGCTCTCACCGACGCGTTGTAGATCTGACCTTTTACAGCCAGACTAACATCACGAAGGCGCCAAAAATGGCCCAGATTGGTATAAGCCGCTCTGGCTTTCATTATACGTGCATCAATCTCATCACTCACGCCACCACCAGCACTTATATAGCTACCTAGATACACGAACTTCTCAACTACTTCGATCTCCTCACCATTCAGGGTGAGTACAGGATGAGAATCCTGCCAGTCTTGTAGGAGTACTTTGCACTTGGAGGGTGCAAAGCACATGCCGTACCTGCGGACACTGATTGCCAACTGATTAAGTGCTGATTGCACGCCTTGGGCATTATCGCACAGTAAGACAATATCATCCGCATACTCAAGGTCGAGAAGTCGTTCTCCAGGCAACATATCCACACCGCCATTACTTACATCCATCAGAGCTGTTTCCAGGATGTCGTCGATGGCAAAGTTGAAGAGGAATGGTGAGATCGGGCAACCCTGCCTAACCCCACTGCTCGAATGGAACAAGGGAGAAAGGTGGTTGTATGCCCTCACTCTGCCTGAGGTGTTCGTATACAGGCCCTTTAAGATGTTAATGAACTTCTCAGGCACACCCTTCTTCAATAGACAATCCCAGAGAACAGTCCTGTCCAACGAATCGAAGGCCGCCCTGATATCAAGAAACACTACGATTGTTGGCCTGCGATAAGTATGACGGTGTTCTAACATTTGGCGGAGGGTGAGGATGTGATCAATGCATCCTCGACCAGAACGAAAACCAGCCTGCTCCTCGCGAGTCAATCGTTCTCGGGTTTTAAACAACCTACAAAGAATGACAGAAGCCAATAGTTTGAACGCAATCGGAAGTAGACTTATCCCCCGATAGTTAATACAGGAACAACGTGAACCATTTTTAAAGATAGGGACGACTATTGACTCGTTCCAAGATGTTGGAACACTTTCTTGCTCTCAAACCTTTCCAAATAACGCAGTCAGTTCCTTAGCCAGAAAGTCATCACCATCTTTAAAAAGAGCCGGAGGTAAGTCATCTGGGCCAGGTGATTTATAACGTTTCAAGAGTTGGAGTTCCTTGAGGACTTCCGCCTCGTTTGGTGGATCAGTCGTCACCGGCCATGGGGGGCAGGACAAGCTGGTTGATGTTGCCGGAGCAGCAGGCCAGTTGAACTGTCTTTCGAAAAATTCCGCCCATCGTCCAAGACGTCGACAGATGTTAGTGATTGGCATCCCGTCATCCTCGTAGATTGTTTCACTCACACCAGACTTCTTGCTGCCAGTGGCTCGGATGAGTTGGAAGAGCTTCCGGCAGTTACCAGATGCAGCTGCTGCTTCCATCTCATTAGCACGCTCCGACCACCAGGCTTCCCGGTCCTTACGCAAGCTTTGCCCGATTTCATTACGTAACAGCCTTCGTTTGTGGTCAAACTCACGGTCACCCGGAGTAGACCGACGGGCTTCCATCAGTCGTAAGGAGCCAGAAGAAACCCAGTGCTTGTAAGCGGGACGTTTCGCGAAGCCGCAAGCGGCTTTACTCACCATTTTCATGGCGTCGTGAAGATGCAACCAATGCTCATCTATACTTTTCGGTGGGGTGGTAGCTAGCCTAGAGGCTAGCTCCGCTCGATACTTACTTGCAACAGAAGTTGCAGCCAGTTTACTAACATCAATCCGTTGGTGGTGGTCAATCCTTCGGCCACTGAAAAGTAAGGTGAGATTGGCGCAGACCAGGGCATGATCAGACTCCAGATAGGTACTCCAAAAGGAGCGGCAGTCTTGTACACAACCACGCCAGCGGTAGCTGATCGCGATGTGATCAATCTGAGTCCAGGCTTGGGATGCAGAGGGAGGACGCCAGGTGGCACACCGGCGATGACTGTGCCGAAAGTTAGTGCTGGCCAGAAACAGGTTGTGGTCTGTGCACAGTTGCAGCAAACGGTCCCCGTTATCTGTCCGGCGACCAACAAGTCCCCATCGGCCACCTAGACGACTCTCTTCTGTGCCTAGACGCCCGACCTGTGCATTCAAGTCCCCGGCTAGTACTACAATATCTGTCGAACGCGCTTTCTGGAGAAGAACTGTTAACTGATGGTAAAACTCATCCTTGATTGCATCCGGGCTGCAATCTGTCGGGGCATAGGCGGAGATGACGAAAAGACACCGTTTCTCACGCCGATTTCTTCTCACTTTGATGGAACTTTCTAATCTAACAGCACATAACCGACTGTTAATGGGGATCCAATCGATTAGTGCTGCCTCAGCTCTAGCGCTTAGTGCGACACCAACGCCAGAAAGACCAGACGAAGATGCCACAGGGTCCCCGGATAAGCGCACGTGGAACAAGCTCTTCGAGGCGACAGATGGAGAGCGGATTTGTAGTACTTCACTAGAGTCTGGAATACGGGTCTCGGATAGACAACAAACATCAACATTAAGACCTTCCAAAGACATAGCCAGCCCTATCTGTTGTCTGATATGCATTAGTGTGCGAACGTTGAAGGAAGCCAGCTTGAACGGCGTACGTGGTTTCAGAAAGACTGCCTCAGTATTCATCATCGGTGGAAGCATTCACTTTCAACCAGACAGTGACTGGAGATCGTTTAGATAGGACAGAGTTTCCACCATGGGCGAGCTGCTGCATAAGTTGAAAAGTAAGGTTACACAAATTGGGGATAAAAGGGGGTGAGTTAGCGATATGGTAAATAATAATAATAATAATAAAGTTAATAATAATAATGTTAATTGTCTTGCTTTTAGTATGACCAGGGATATTATCGTCAATAGTGTTCATAATTTCATTTATTTGTGTTCCGATGTTCATCTGTTATGTCCCGATAACAATAGTGAATGGTAACTTTGGAATCCATTTATGGACCAATATTATGCATATAACTTTTATCGTATATTTACTAAATGACCAAACTATTCATATTCATGTTCCCCTTATTATGAGCTTTATTTTGATCTATAGATTATTATTGTACGATTTACCGTTCTTGAGTTATCCGTAGTCCACTGTTGCTCCTATTTACAGTCACATTTGGCTGAATCTTGTACAAATGTTATTTTCTATTTTATTGGTACAATGTGGTCAGTCTGTTTGGTATATAAACTCAATATGTTTGAAATACAAGGATTCATACCGCAGAGGCTGTTATTAGTGTTCTGGACTTAACTGGCTGGGCTAGGCAAAAAGCAGGATTGATAAGTACTCTAGACTGCTCGTACGGTTTTCGTGTCACTGTTCCAATCGATAATTCGCTGCTCTCTGATTGGCGGTCTTATCGCGTCATACGTTAACAAGGCATCCACTCGGCCGCAAGTTATAACATAATCCGTGTACTCTCCATCTTTGAGAAATAGCTTATATAAATTACCATTGCAAGAATTTACGCACCAATCAAATCAATGTGAAGATCCACATTATACCTACAATTATCTTTTGCACAAATAATTCTGAACTTACAATTCTGCCGAAGTTGCATTAGTCGTTTAAATTAGAAGACGAGAGCTACGTAACAATTAGATTTCAAACATTACATTCTTATAAAGATCACATAACGTTTTTCAGTAGAATGTCAGCATCCTCAATCTAAAAAAAACTGCAAGATATCTTCTTTTTCCATTAAAAAATCATCGTAGTATGTGTGCATCTTAATTTGATTTTTTTAAAGTTGCTTCGAAATAAATCATATTTTATCTCCATGTTAGTTACTACCTAACTAAATAACAGATTTACTTACGACTAGTCGTTTAGTTACATATAACCAGCAAACCATAGACAGATTGAATGAAGAGAAAAATCTAGTCAAATTTATTAATTGTATCCTTGGTTTATATACATTCAAAAAAATATTCATTTAGCAAAGGATTATACTACTATTAAATGACATTCCGAATCTTCAAGTGGTAATCACAAAAAATCAACCATCCTAATTCCTTAACAGTATGTAAAACTTCAGGTAACGAACTTTATTTTAAAAGAACTAATAGGATTTCAAAAAATTCATTTGGCATAATCACTTGAAAGTATATCTACGGGAATTTCTTGCTCACGAAGTCAACTAAAACACTTTTTCCTTTTCAGGACCATAACGTTTGACCCAGGCTTCCATAAATTCCTTCTTACGTTTTTCCCGTCTTGCAAAGAAGTCAGGATACTGCTTCTTCTCTAATGGATGCCACAGGTCATAGTTCTGTCAAAGAGAGATTAGAAATCGAAGGTAACTTGGTAACAGGGTCAAATTCATGAAACAAGATACTTCGTATGTTTATTAAAAAATTGTAGTATAAATCCGATAAAACACTTGATCTAAGCAAAAACAAAGATTTTTTTAAAAACCATTTAGATTTTCATATCTTTACAATTTGTATTGAGAAAATGGAAGGATAGTACAATGGGTCATGTACTTACTTATCATTATTTGAAACGTGTGAACCGATGTATCCCACTTTGGCTACCATAAGCGTGAAATACTTGTGATTTTTACATCACGAGGGGGACTCAAATTCTACTAACATAAACCTGATTTTAAACGTAAATCTTTTAAATTTTATGAAATCTAGAAAACAAAAAACAACGATCAACCATAATGCATGTCCATATGTAGGTGGAACTGTGAACTATAGGTCTAAGAATTCGACTTCATAATGGATTTTGACCCAAATTAACCTACTATAGTTTACACAAACAGGTAATAATAAGTAATCTACACATACAAGTGTGATTTGTACTCAGATAAAAATGCGTACATATAAAATACTAGTAAGATGTAGAATTGAAACAGACACAATTAGTCCCTAGCGCTGGTTGGCTAAAAATGGATCAACTAGCGTGCTCCAACATAATTCCGCATGGAGCTATGTCTGCGGACACAAACATTTTGTGTAAGACGGAAGAGCAAGCAACACTTTTAAATTTAAACATTCGAGACAAATTATATGCCAGACAATAATGAAAAATACTCACAGAGTCATTAAAAACGGATTCCCTTCCGTAAGCAGCACCTCCTGGTGCATCAGGATCTAGGCTTATAAAAAGATAACAAGTCATTAATTACATTTGAACGGAAAAGGAGCCTCAGTCTGTTTGAGTTCAGCCCATCCATCTTCCACTAATTTTCTTGCCAGAATTTCATCCTTAATGTTTCTGTTTTCTTCAAAACGTGCTCGTGCCAAGACAGCATGATAGCGATACTTCAAACTACCAAATCATAAGTAAAGAGAATCACAAATTTACACGTCTCGATGTTTCGCCTTCAGATCGTAAAGCACTGCTTTGTAAAGCTCACAAACTCTTTGTCCATGTGAGATAAGCCGAGTACGAAGATGTGGAGGTATCGTCGATACAGACATCTCTGTAATGTACCGTTTAAGTTACAACACGCGCGCGGGGATGAAATACCATTGAGACGAAATGATATCACACGATTTCAATATGTCGGGTACTTGTGTAAAGCAGATGGTTTCTCACACTTACTTCTTATTGTTATTGTAATGTCCTATGTTTTAAGTAGCTTCCATTGAAGGTAGAACAGACATAGACTGTATAAATCCATGTGAATTTGACAGTAATTTGGGTAAATATCTATTTAATCCAGATCATTAATATTGTTGTGATCGACATTTATCAGATTATGGGCAGGAAAACCTGTTGATTTTGGTATGAAAACCGCGAAAACCGAATATTTAGTAGTGCAAAGACGAATCAAGAGAAGTAATTAGATTGGTTGGATCTCAAAAATCTTTGTCACGACCTTCTATAAATCAATTAATTTATTTGTACTCTGTACGGTTTCAGGTAGTTAGTGTGAATTAACAGATGAATATATTAAAGTAATAGTGCAAACAGATAAACAGTGATGACAAGGGGTGAAGTTAGTAGGATGTATTGTTGATAAAAAATATGATGAGAAAAATAATGTATAAAAATGGTAGATGATTCGCGAGACATATTTCAGGATAGGCTGTAAGTGTAAAATGTCTTCTTCCATTCACAGATATAGTTAGACTCCATTCCAGGAGAAAGATGATACACCTTGGATATATAGACGATCATAAAATGGTCTTCTGAAGCTGTTTACTGAGAGCCTGGTTTCACACGAGCTGTATAATACACATGAGACCGACTAGTCGAAACGAAAAATGGAACCTTACGAAGGCTTGGTCTTTGCTGCGCAGTCTATCGAGGATCATCTCGTAGGATGCGATAGTAGGTTCAAGGTTATATTTCCCATCAAGTTTACGTCATGGATTTACTAATTTGTACACCAACTTTTTCCTTATTCCTCTGTATCCTAACCAGATACATCCTAGATAGTTAGGTGTTTCCTCTTACAGCCGTTCACTCTGTCCTATCACCCGCTCTCTTACCCGAAAATTATATGCATTTTGTAACACAATGTATTTTAATGTGCTGACTTTGAACGCAATAAGTCTTTTATGTACTTATTCTGCATAGATTTTTAAGTGTGATACTGGACCTGCTTCAGACCGAATACAACCTTATACAAATAGTGAGCTAACATTTTCATCATTAACAGCATCCAAGAATTTATCTCACACTAAGAAACTGTTATGTCTAGTGGTTCATTCCTTGAAGTCAGGAGTACGGAACTTCTGATTTTGGAATCAGTAATTATCAGATTCCGATGCTGTGGTTAAACTCATCAAAGTAAAAACCCTGAGTATGAGAGAAAAAGCAGCCTAGTCTTAGAAGTCACAATCTAATAAATAAATAGGAAGGTTCTCCTATTATGACTTGTTAATCTCTAGTAACCGAAGATAGATCATCTATCAATGAGTTGGAAAAATTTTCAAGGTTTCAGTCACAACCTTCACAACTGATTGATGAACGTGACTTTGATAAATGAGGTAAAAACATGACTTTCAAAAGCTTAAACTGTGAAGATTAACTAAAACTACGAAACATTTGCATCCTAGTATGCGCTCAGGAGACTCTATCTGTTAGATTTAAAGAACCGTAGAGGAAGACAGATAAATTTGTTCGGCCACATGAATGCCAAACCAACTTCAGAAGAAACCTTAAAAAACCGTCAGAAGAAAGAACAATGTGTTCAATTATTAACCACATATATTAATAATATCATAGATCATCTATCAATGAGTTGGAGAAATTTTCAAGGCTTCAGTCACAACCTTCACAACTGGTTGATGAACATGACTTTGATAAATGAGGTAAAAACATGACTTTCAAAAGATTAAACTGTGAAGATTATCCGACCGTGCTAAGAGACGTGCCCACGATCTGCAGTTAGTGAGATCTGTCATCAGGAATGTACTGCTCGATGGGGTCTCAGGGGTACATATCACGAAAGTCATCAGACTCGGTAAATATAGTGGAAACCCGACAAAGATGGATCCTTAAATTAACACTCGGTAGTTTTGAGGAAAGTGACGTAGTACTGAATAACGCACGCAAAATTCTGGATTCAAATATTCTTATTCGACCAGACTGGCCAATTGAGGATCGGATCAAGTGGAAAAATTCCCTGACAGAGTTAAAAACTCGAAAGCTAAACGGTGAAACGAAACCTTACGATTAAGGGTTTTAGGGTAGTCAGGTCTTGGAAGCCAATGCTTTCGAGATCTGTGTGGGTAGAACGTATGTTTCCAAAAACAGCTTAAATGTGTGTCACACAAATGCCCGTAGTCTTTGAAATAAGTTGTCCGAGCTAGGTGTGATGGTGGATGAATAAAATCCTGACATAATTGTTATCACCGAAACTTGGCTCACTGTAGACATAAACTGTTCTTCCATCATTTCAGGCTACATATGTTTCAGAATTGATAGAGTTATAAGTCGCAAGGGAGGAGGCATAATATTATATGTTAGGGACCACTTTCGTATACACTCGATCATATCGGAGGTACGTGTAAGTGGTACGTGTTAGGTAATATTTTGTACAATTAGGTCTAGAAACGGGTTAGTGACTATAGGAGGAATATGTCGTAGTTCGTGTTGTCTCGCCGATGACTTTATCTTAAGACACGCCTGTTCTTGGAGTAAGGCAGAATGCTGTCTCATCGTTGGAGACTTCAACGCACCCCATATCAACTGGATAGAGCTCACAGCTCCAGGTGGGGGTTTCGATAGAGTCCTTCTATCATCAATTATTCAGTGTGATCTTGTACAATGTATCGCAAAGCCAACACATACTGACTTGGAACGTAATCCATCATTGATAGACCTTGTCCTCACACACCACTGTGAAGATATCGTCGACATTCAACACCTTCCCTCACTGGTGAATAGTGACCATGTCGTACTTTCCTTTAAGTTCCAGATACATGATATAGAATTTTCATCTGCTCCACCCCGTCCTAATACCTGGAGAGCTAATATTCCGGCAATCAGGGACTATGTTATCTCGATTGACTGGTTGGTCGATGCTGATGGATCGATCGACGATGCATGGACTAGATTTAAGTCTACGTTCGAATCCGTAACTAAACCGTTTATCCCATGATCAGCACGTAAGCTATCACATTGCCATACAGGGATTAATAAAAAAACTTGGGAGCTGTTGAAGCGTAGGAAACACTTCTGGGAATTATCCTTGTCAACAAGTCATGCATCATTTAGGTGCGAATGTAAAAAACCCGGAATATATGTAAAGAGACCATAGCTAAATCCCGCACCGCTTACGAACGACAGTTGGTATTCGATAGTCGTGCCTGTCTGCAGCGACTGTTTTCGTACGTTAAAAGGTGGACAAAACGTAGTGATGGTATCCCTCCGTTACTGTTGAACGAAAATTCAGATTTGTTAGCTGAACCTGATCCAGCAAAAGCTGAATTTTTCGCAAACTATTTTAGTGAAGTCTACTCTACGTGTAGTGTTACAGCTACTTGTCCCATTGATAACGAGATACCAGCCATAAAACCTATACATGTGAATGAGGATATTGTTCTTCCATTGATAACTAACCTCAGACCTTGCAAGATACCGGGCCGCGATGGGCTACATCCACGTTCGCGACGCTCTTCAACATGCCCTTTCATGCGCTCAAAAACCTAGAGACTAGAAAGACGCTGTAGTTAGTCCTATATTTAAGGATGATCAGAGATGGATCGTATCTAACTATCGGCCTATCAGCCTGACCAGCATAGTATTTAAGTTACTTGAAAAATTAATTCGGGCTAAGCTACTGAGTCACATAGATTCGTACAATCTGTTAACTCCCGAGCAACTTGAGTTTCGTAACAAGCGTTCATGCTTAACCAACTTAACGATAGAGCGAGGGAACAGGCGAACAAGCGAAGGAAACGAACGAGGCGAATAGCAAGCAATTACATAGGCAATTTATAGTCACATTTAATAAGGGCACAGCAAAGTAAAACAAAGACTGATAATAATAATATTTGCGTTCGTACATACATGGGGAGGAGTATGAGTCATCGGATGATACTTAAGCAGTCAAGATTTCGGTTAGAGTGTCATGTGAAGTGCAAAGAATATGCAAATTGTTGCTATCCGAATGACAATGTCTGTTAAGTAAGTTTATAAAAATGGCTTAACCAAAATTGACCACAATCGAAATTGAATGTAGAATGGTTGCTATATAACTCCCCGTGCAAACAAAGATATATGAAAAAATGTCTGTGTTTGCATAAAGTACAGTAAATTTAATAGCGTAGTTGCAATCATTCGGAGATATGGGTCTGTACAAAATTAGAATGAAGTTAATGTGCATTTAGTTCGTACCCGTCCGTTAGGCTATACAAAATAGCGGTAAGATATAGAAGGAATATGGTATCGCTTCGAAAAAAATTTTCACGTATAAGCGTAAGGGTGTACATAGGCAATGCCGAGTTTAATAGCGTATAACATGAACTTAATAATCCATATGTATACAATGAAGAGGAAGAATTATAATTAATACTCAAAGTAGCAGAAAATTATCAGTAAAAGTTTGTAGCGACATAGCATTGCGGCCATCTTACTCTGCGGCCAGATCTTTTCGTTACCGGAGTCTCTTCTTTTTGCTGCGTTAGCGTCATTGATTCTTGAAACTCGTGTTTCGTCGATGTGATCGTCTTCGAGAGGCCTGTACTTGTCGATTGAAAATCGCTATGAATGAAAGCTGGTTTCACTCGATCAATGCTGATTACATCTGTCCTCCCAGCTTTTCCTACCGTAACTGTCTTATCTGTCTTCGTAATCACTCTAAATTGACCTTCATAGTTCGGTTACAGAGGTGGTTGTACATTGTCTCTTCTGATGAATACGTGCGTGCTATTATGTAGTTGCTGAGGTATGGATACTCGTTTTTGTTGTAGTCTGGGAAGTGTTATTTTTAGACCGTTCATGTGTTTCTTCAGGCGTTGCACGTAGTTGGCTACATCAGTCGGAACACTTTTACCTGAAGCGAAAAATTCTCCGGGTAAACGTAAAGTAGTTCTATATACCAACTCAGCTGGACATCCCATATCCTGTTTAATTATTGTTCTTAAACCTAACATGACTGAAGGAAGCTTATTAGCCCAATCCTTATTCACAATGACAGATGTAAGGGATGCTTTCAGTTGATTATGTAGGCGTTCAACCATTCCGTTTGCCATTGGATGGTAAGATGTCGTTCGAATACGTTTAATTCCGAGGAGTCCTGTAAGCTGCTGGAAGAGTCGACTTTCGAATTGAGCTCCTCTATCGATCGTGATAATTGCCGGTATACCATAGTAAGAAATCTAATTTTCGATAAAGGATTTTGCTACAGACTCGGCTGAGGTTTCTTTTATTGGCACCGCTACAGGCCATCGGGCAAATCTATCGATGCATGTAGAAATATAGTTGTACCCGTTCGAAACTGGCAGTGGTCCCACAATATCGATGTGTATATGCTCAAATCGAGTGTCTGGCTGTGAAAATGAACCCATTGGCGAGCTAGTATGACGATGTACTTTGGCTTTTTGACATTTCATGCATGCTTGCGTCCAATTTCGTATATCGCGATTCATTTTTGTCCATACGAAACGCTCAGTGATTAATTTCATCGTGACTTTTATTCCCGGTTGCGATAGGTTATGGATACTTTCGAATACTTTACGTTGGAATGGTTTAGTAATGAATGGGCGAGGTCGGCCTGTCGACATGTCACAAAAAAGAGAGTTCAAACAGCTTCGAAAAAGAGGGAGACAGCGATTTGTATCGGAATACTGTTTTCAGCACTTTATTTTATAATTACACAATTCCATACTTTCTTTTGAACTACCTTCATTTATACAGTTCCTTACCCACTCATACCTTGCCCACAATTATTTTTCTTTAACACATTAGTATGTTCTTACCTAATAAATACTTCAGTAACAGACAAATAGACTGAATGCTTATACATTAACTATTCCTCCATGAATATTGTGTGCTCTGCTTTTCGTCCTTCCTTTTTCTTACACCTTTTTCAGTCTCCTGCAGATACTCCACCGAAAACAGATATGGCACGGGTGACTTCGTCCTACACCGTTACTAAATCCTCAGATATTCCGGAGGGATATAAGTTCGAAACTTCTAAAAGCCCTCAACTTCGCATGTATCTATTCTCGACCATCAGTTGTATGTTGCAACGCTACCTCCATAAAGTGCGCCAAGTGTGATATTGATATGTTTCTTACGAAATCTATTTACATTCATATCCTATGAAATATCAACCCAGCTGAGTAATTTTCAACAGTGAAAATTGTAACTACTTTAACAATTTGATCTTGCCTGTAAACCGGCATGCCTCATGTAACAATCTGTTATTTGAGGATAAATTATTATTATTATTACTTTCGCGTTGCCGAAATGAACATCTTCGAATGAAAGTGACGTCTTGTCATCGAATCTTAGCTTGTTTAGTTCGGTGTCTGTCTCTTGTAACTTCGCGAGACCGTGATAATCAATTCCATTTGTAATAATTGCGTTTATCGTTGTCCTGGACAACGCATCTGCCACTTCATTATTATTACCTTTAGTATACTGCATACTAGATGTAAATTGGGAAATAAATTCTAATTGTCGAATTTCCCTCAGCGAATAGTTATGCTGCTTGGCGTTTAATGCTTTCGTGAGGGGTTTATGGTCTGTATACACTGTGAAAATGGTATCTCTATCATATGTCGGAAATGCTTGATTGCCAAGTAAATCGCTAATAGTTCTCTTCCGAACGTACTGTATCTCGTCTGAGTAGGATTTAGTCTCTTCGAGAAAAATGAAATTGGTTCCCATGTACCGTTTACTAACTGCTGCATTACAGCTCCTACTGCTATGTTCGATGCGTCCGTCATGATGGCTAGTGGCGCTTCGCTCTTTCGTCGTACTAATATCATTTCTCATGAAATGCTCGCTTAGCGTTCTCAAAAACCTGTATAGCCTCTGTCGATAGATGGAATGTTAGGGTATTTTCTCGCAAAGCGTCCGTTAATGGCTGTAGTATTGCTGCGCAGTTTGGAATAAATCGCCTGTAATAGTTTATTAGTCCCAAGAATCGTCGTAGCTTTTTTTGTGACTCGGGCAACGGATAATCACGAATAGCAGCAACTTCTGCTGGAACTGGCATGATACCTCGAGATTTTATCATATGACGCAGGAATTGCAATGATTTCTTTCCAAATTCACATTTCTCCAAGTTAATAGTGACGCCATGTTCTTGAAGTCTCGTGAATAACTATCGTAGATGTTGTAGGTGTTCTTCCACGGTAGCGCCAGCTACTAATATATCGTCGATATATGCGTATACTCCTGTCAAACCTCTAACAACCTGATCAATAAATCGCTGAAAGGTTTGAGCTGCATTAGTTAGTCAAAATGGCATTCGCAAAAAACTCAAAAAAACCAAATGGGGTGGTTACAGCCGTTTTTGGTATATCTTCTGGGGCCACTGGAATGTGGTAGTACGCCCGAACAAGATCGATTTTCGAAAAAATCGTGGCACCTTCCATCTCAGTAGTGATGCAGTGGATATGTGGCACCAGGTATCTTTCTGCTATCGTTTGCTTGTTAAGGGCTCTATAATCTTCACATGGTCTGATTTCTCCATTCTTTTTGGGAACCATATGCAACGAAGATTCCCAGGGACTATTAGATGGCCTTATGATACCAAGTTTCATTAGTTTTTCGAATTCTCGTTTCGCAATTTTTAACCATTTTGTGTCCAACCTTCGCGCTCTTACTCTAGTCGGTGGACCTTTCGTGACGATGTGGTTCTGTACTGTATGTTTAAGATCTCTGTTGTCGTATGACGCCCTCATCAAATCGGCGAACTTATTTAAAAGTGACTTATATTGCTCGTTCTTATCTTTCGACACTACTAAATTTATAGATACATGATCGGTGGTCACTCCTCTTATGACTACTGAGCGTTTTCCATTCACTAGTTGGTTTCGTCGAGAATCTACTAATAGGTCAAAATTCTTTAAGAAATCGATACCAATTATGGGTACGGACACATCAGCGATCACAAATTCCCAGCGAAGTGAAATATTACGGCCGAAATTCAAGGTTAGTTTTCGCTTGCCATATGTCTTTATGTCGGATCTATTCGCTGCTTTAAGAGTTAGCGCAGTATCGATATTTTGTTTTTCGTTGCTCAATGGGGGGACGACGCTTATCTCTGCTCCCGTGTCTACTAAAAATTGAGCGCCCGTTACTGTGTCCTGAACATAAAATAAACGATTGCTCGTGGGAGCTGCGTTGATCGTCGTAGTCGTTACTGAGAATCGTTGGGATCGTTTAAATTTGCATGGAGACCTGCATTTTCGAGCTCTGTACCCAAATGTTTGATGGTACCAGCATATAGCAGGATCTGGTAGTCCCTTAGAAAATAATCGGTTTCTATCTCTTGATCTGCTGCGCGACCAACTTCTTTTCCTGTCGTTGTGATTTAGACTCGTTAGTTCGTGGCATAGCGCATTAATTTCCTTTTGCAAGGCCTCGATTCTTTCGTCAACTGTGGAGTTTAGCGTTTGTGGAGTCGCGTGTCTCATTCTCTCGTAAATCTTATCGGCTATTTTAGCGATGTTGTCTATGTCTACATCGCTATCTCCAACAGCGAGGATCTGCTGTACGTCCGGTGGGAGTCGTCGTAACCATAACTGGTAAAATATATTTTTATCAACATTTCTGTCTCCAATTACGTTGCTCATATACGTTTTTAACTGCAAAGGCGTTCTATCTCCGATTTGCACTTCACTGAGCAATTGCTCGACAGCTTGCCGGTCGTTTAATGAGAGAGCTTTTATTACTGTCTGTTTCAATACGTCGTATGGATTTACCGCATCCGGCTTAGTTAGGACCTCTCGTACCTTGTCTGCTACTTCATCTGAAAGTAGTGAGCTTGCATAGCCGAACTTATGTCGCTGTAAAAGAATACGATTAGCTACGAAGTAATTTTCAAGTCTAATAAACCAGAGTTGAGAATTATTAACATTAAAAGAGGGAATAGTAACATTAATAACTTCCACGGATGGTGACTGTGAAAGATCGATTGTGTCGTTGTTTAAAGACATTTATAAAAAATTAAATAGTATGTGAACATAACGTAATTGTCACTAAGAGAAATGGACCGATGAAAACAGTGATAATAACAAATGGTACATTTTATAACATAGAACGGACTCACTGAATTGCACCAATATATCAATTGTTCGTGAATAACCGTTATTTATTATGAATATTATCGTTAAGTTCAATGATGGGATAATGTACGTGCAATTAAAATTGTGATATAATTAATCCACAATTATGGTTATAATCCAGATAATAATTCGAATAGAAACAGAGTACGTTGAATTTTCCAAATGAGATTATCTCGTAGAAAATTGTTTTGTGTTCGCTCGGCGAGGCCTCCAATTATGTAATGCCACGATTCGTTAATCGTGAACCGATCGGAATTCGGCGCGGATTTCATCCTCCCGGTCTACACAGTCAGTAACAGGGTAAGATAGAGGTAACCGTCGATTCGAAATTATTCGTCGATTGGTTGAATCCATACATTTAATTCGGCGGTTGCAGTTACGTTAAGCTGACTGAGCTGAAAATATACACATATCCCACCAACGGCGATTCCAGTGGAGAGCTCGGTGAGACTATAATTTATGGATGAACCAATCAAATTTACGGTAACGGGTTTTGGATTTCGGTGCAAAATTCATTATCCATTTGGCTCTATAGCGCTTTGACATTCTAGCTTGGGTTAGTTCATGATGAAAACCCTAGATCTAACCTTTATTCCTAACTATCAATTACAAATCACAATCTTTATCCTTCACACTGGTTTAAAACCCTTATTTAGCCCTGGTCACTAAGTGGATATTTATAAAGCATTTTTAACGTCGCTCAAAGGTCGTCAATAAATTATAGTCTCACCGAGGACTCTTACAAGCTGTGATATCATTCCGTATGCTTTTTCACGAGCAACATTTAGGCTTTCGGGAGCTTCTTACATAAACTTTTGTAGTAGTTCTGAGTCTATACCCTCGATTAAGAACTATCTTCTCAAGTTTTATTCTTGAACAATCTGCGAATTCTGTCGCCAGTTCTTAAAGACGTCCAATGAATGCAGCTGACTTTCCCCCTTCATTTTGCTGAGCATGATGAAACTTTCTTTTAATAAACCAGGATGCCTTGAAGACCCGAATACTGATCGCATTTCATTAAAAAGACTGTTGATTTCCTTCGTGAATAAAAGCTCAATATCAGATAGTCTTAGCCCCTTCAACGCTTTTTTAGAAAGGAGGGTGCCTAGTACGCAATATGTGATTTGCTGGCAAAGTTCACCAAGTATTGTTGACATTCCAGTTCCCATACAAAAAACGACTTCCCCGTAAGTTATTTTTCAGGCAGTTGAGACTGTGGTTCAGCTGACTATTTATCTTTTAGCACCGATATTATTTCAGTTTTGTTCTACAGCACCAGTCTTTCGCTTCGGTGTTACATTCGGATTTTACGTTTGAACCCGTTTCTTTTGTTCTAGACGTACTGAAACTATGTATTATTGCAAGTTTGGGTATGGAAGCCGAATGTTACATAAGTCGGAAAAAAATTCCCATAATATTAAAACATATACGGACGAAGAATATTCTCAATAATTTCACTCCAGGTTCCTCAATTATATATCCAAATCGATAACCCATAAAATTTTCCAGGTTTAAGGCAGAGTACACCATGTTAAATGTCCCTAGGTTTAGCAAATAATTATAAAAGGTTTATCCAAGCGTTTTCAGCACCTCTTTATAACTTGCTAGCAAAGGATGTTAACTTCGAATGAACTGATAAGTGCCAACAATCTTTCGGTTGTTTAAAAGAGTTGCTTTGTTCGACGCCGATTTCAGCACATCCAGACTGTTCTCCCAGTGCTATCTGTTTCATCTCAGACACTAATGCAAGTGACTAAGCTATCGGTTGTGTATTATCACATGTTTCGTACATTCAAATAGAGACACTAACCTGGGAAACATACTCTTCAAAGAATTATATCAAGTGTTAGGAATTCGCGAACAGCTGTCCACCATCCAGAAGGCAACAGGCTTATCGAGCGGACCGATCAGATTTTCAAAACGCTACTAAAAGCGTTTGTTAGTCAGGAAGAAGCTAGATCGTGAGATCTAGCTATAAACAAGTGTTTACTGGCATATCGCAGTAGTGTCCACACGTCTACTGGAAATACACTTCATCTACTATGGACAGCAAGAGATATAAGGCTTCCAGAGGAGTTGCTAACACCCACAATGCACCAAAACCCTTTATTAATATCAGACATGGTCGTGTAACTTCTAGGGGATATATTGAGGTATCATAAGTATGGCTCGAGTACAGTTTGGCGTGACACAAAAGCACCCAAAAGAGTATTATGATAGGAAGGCTCATGAAATACCTTCACAACCAGAAAAAGTATGGTCAAATACAGGAAACCCACCAGCAGGGGTAGTTACTAAAACTACACAGAGAATGAACAGGTCCTTATATGAAGTAACTAGTAACAATCTACACTTAAGACCGGCGTATGACTATATATAATATACGGTTAACCAAGGTTTACATCTTAAAATTGATTTACGATTATGTCCTGTTCAATTTGTTACAAGTCCCACAACGAGGAAGCGAAATTAACTTGTATCCTGTTTTAATTTCATATTATGTTTTGTGTTCCGAGACGGTTTTTTTTAGTTTGGCGTTCCCGTTCTTATATTACCACACGTCTTTGGGATTGTTCTTTTTTACTTCAAAAGTTTTTTTCTGTAGAGATTATTAAGAGCGACTGAAGATAACGCTTAAAGGAGAGGGGAGCAATAACATTGGCAACACGGTAAAATAAAAACGACTTTTCATTTGAAATTATTGATTGGCTAGTTGGATCAATATTATTGATTAGGCAGTTGCAGTTAGATAGAGCTAATTCAGCTGAGAGTATACACGCATCTCGTCGGGGGATTTACTCCAACGGCAATCCCAACCAACTGACCGATTCGCTGATTATAGTTCTGAACCCGAGTAACTCATACATAATGAGTTGTTATTCATATTAAGACTTTATCAATTCTAGTTGTCACTTGTTTTAATTCACTGCACAACTAAATGCTTGATGACGGTCCACACACATCACTTGGTTTATCTACGGTCAGCTATACTAATGAATACAAATGTATATTTGCTACGGTGGTGGGCAAAATAACTGTTAATAAATACCTCTCAGTCACAACTATCTGAATATAGACGAGACTTAATATTAAATATTTCATTATCTTAGTCCAGTAAACATAGGATGTATATTGTTTTGCAGATGTCAAACGTGATACGGTATGAAATGTCTTTAATTATTAAAGCTCTTGGCACTCCTGGTATAAAAGCTGCTCTCAAAAGGCATCTCAAAAGTATGCTCGAAAATGGTGCCCATCTATTCAACGTCGAGAATCTTGGCTTGCGACGCCTTCCCAATGTATTTCATGTCCAAGGAGAAAGGCAATATGAAGGACATTACTTCCTCATTAATTTCAATGCGCCACATGATTCACTTAATCAGATAAGGGTAAGTGATGTCAAGTTTTTTACTCATCGGTTTGTATTTTAGAAAATGGCGAGGAAAGACTCAGATATCATCAAGTGTTTCGCTGCTCTTAAAGATGATGGATGGGTCCCACCATGTTCATTGCCAAATGCAAATAATTGCGAATTTGGCGAAATCAGAAATCCGAATTACGAAAAGACGGCTAGACGAAGACATGGTTACCGAATGTATTAAAGGGAAGTAACTATCAAGTATATAATAGACGAAAGTTTGCAAACTAATGTTTTTTCGAAGAGTATCTATGTATGGGATAAGTACCCTAACAAGCATTCAATGGTTGAACTGTATTTTAACGACTTTGTACAGCATTTCCCCCTTAACATACTACTTTGCGGGATCCACTCGTTTTTAGGTTACTATATATTTTGTCAAGAACCACTAAACCTAGCACGAATAGCGCGTTGTTAATCAGGTATGCGATGACATCTCTCAACCACCTAAGTCAATGGACATCCACAAAGTTGTGAAGAACTATCTCGTTTGACCTATTTCAACGTTAAGTTTTCATATTACTCGAGTCTCTTTACGACTACAGATACTTTAATTCAGTTTAAATTCCCAGAGCACTCTGTGATGCACTACGACCATTCATTTGAATACTATTGGTGAGTTTTAGAAATACAACATATTCCTAAAGTTTTACAGTTACCGGATACACATGGAGATGTGTATCATTCTTAAGATAGACCCCTCATAACCCCATATTTTCATGGGGAGCTCGTGATGTTAGTTACCTTCGAGCCTAGGATTAAAATCGTTTAATCTTTTCTTTAGCTGGCCTGCCAAATAAATTGGGCTACAAACAAAAAATATTTCAGGTGATACAGCTCGGCCAAATCGCCTGTATATAAAACATAGAAACACATTAGGGTACCAGCTCCTATTGGCGATAAAACATCGCGATATTTCTTAATCAGCTATAGATAGTGATATTCACTTGGGATAACAGTAAAGGTGAGAAGATAAATGCGATGCTAGAACCCACCCCAAGGTAAAATTCTGATAAATAAAAACGATTTACATTATTTTAGCTGTATTCACATTATGCCACTTTGTTTCACAAAAATCTCCAAGTGTAGACAAGCCAAGAGCCTTTCCTTGTAATGTCTGAGACGTTGCACCAACAATCTGGAAAGAACAGCATAAAAATAGATAAATTGCTACGAGTTATGCAGATTTAAAAAAATCAATGCTTCCTTAATATACAGTCTATATTATATGGTTCTTTGTATGCACATTTTGAGATCGCCTAAATTTACAATGAGTGAAAGTATACATTTAAAAATTAAGTAGACTAATTCCGTTTTCTTTTTTGTAACACTAAATAAATAGATATTATGAAACAAAACATGAAAAAGTTTAGAAAAAAGGGGAGGCCAAAAACAAAGAAGGATTTACACCTGTATTTAATTTAACTATCTCCACACTAGTTTTTCATTGTTTTGGCACTGGCTGTTTTTACTAATAGTTCTATTTTGGAAAAGTTCGTATATAAAAAATTCGAGCCATAGATTATTGTCCAAATGGTTTTATACTCTCTAATTGTATAACTTAGCTTGTTCACTTGTAACTGAAGTCATGAGAAAATATGCGACTTGATGTATAAATACTAAATTTAGGATAATCGAGTAATGGTATATCATTGATCCATCGAACAAGTCACTCAACATACTCCGGTATTGTCGACAGAGTGTAAAGTGTTGATGTTGAAGTTGTTCTGTTATGCGTTAGAACTAATGTAAGAAAAATATAGACACATGCTCCTTATATTGAACTTCACACTAAACTGGCTTATGAATGGATCATTATAAACTTTTGTAACAAGTATTTGATCACAGATATCTTAGAGATATTGCTCGCATCTTCTGGGATCACCGAGAAAGTAATAGTGAGGTTAGACACAGGGTACTAGGGAATGACGGTAAATCAGTTGATGAGGTTATAAATCTTTATCGACTGAGATGGTTGGGCCACGTGTTATGTATGCCTTTAAATTGTGAGATTAAAATTACTTTATATCTTTCACTCTACGAACTAATTCTTTCTCCCTGTACTATATTCTTATACACAATCTTTCTTTTATATATCACTACTTTTGAAGTAACTACTTCTATGAATATGGTGTTCATCTTGTTGTGCTAATGAGGTATGGCAAGTCGGACCGATGCATAGATGTGCCTGGTCCTACGTTGTAGTTGACTGACTGAAACTCTTGTTTCTCACTAAATCCCTTCAAATGAACTCAGTGTATTTAGTTTTAAAATCGCTCTATAGCTTGAAGCTATGTTGACTATGATCTATCTCCCCATACCATCACTACTAAAATATAATGAAATATAACTATTTACAAACCTCAACAACCACATAATCACCAGGCTTGAAGGACATATGCGAACAATCTTGATTTACAGTAGTTGCTGTTAATGTAACCTCTCGATCGAAAATTACCTTCGTGTTATAATCATTACGTCCAAACACTTGTGTTGGTGAACGACGACTAGGCTAAGATTAATAAAGCGTAATATTTTAAGAAACTTTAAAAATTCTTTATATTTTATGCAATTAACACTCTATGATGGTTGCTAAAAGATGCAACAGTCAGTGGCATTTGTCTCTACTGCAAGGAATAATTACTGAAAAGCGTTAATATTAATTTTGAATCAACTTCTTTAGATTCATTTGTGATGTATTTCCAAAGCAAGATCAAATCCAAATAGTAGTGCCACTCAAAAACTAGTAAAATAAGTACGTTTTAGCATAGTTAAGTGGATGAAATTCTTGTCGGAGTTGTTCGGAAAAACAATGCTATTAGTATTTCAGATGATCATTTAATACTAATTAGTAGTCACATCACACTGTGAACACCGTTTATAATCAATGATAATTGACCTCTCTTATTACTGGTTTTTCGTATTAAGCATTATTTTGGTACACCACTTTTACAAAGCTTATTCAAGATTATGTAAATGTTATATACAGTGGTATTTACTTAAATGATTAGTTTTTCTTGAGAGAAAAAGGTTCCCTTCAATCTTTTCTCTTGTTGTGTACGATTGAGCAAATCTTGATGCACAATCGAGTGTTTGTTGCTTGATCTATCCAATTACATCAAATCCGTCGTCATACTAGAAGGGTCTTGTCGAACATACCGTAAATAAAAATCTGATAAGTGGTATGATTTGTAGTGTTTAGTTCATCTATAACTAACATATCTAATCAGCTATAAGTTCCAGATATCCTTCTGTGTTTCTATTAGAAAAGTTTTACGAAGTTATGTAATGGAGTATGTGAAAATGCAACACTATAACATCTGATACGAATCGGTTTTGGATATTATTCAGAATAACGAAATAAAGACATTTTAAGGTAGTGAGGCCTTTTCAGTCTCGTTCACTTTATAAGGATAAGTCAAGATATGAATTCTTTCTTTCTAAAACTTCATAGTCTTGAACCATTTTAATTATTTAAATAAAAATGACTAAGTAATCCCTTTTATCCAGAAGATTTTACAAAGTACATCACTCAAGTACGATGTTTCATAAGACGTGTTGAAATGATAAGTCAAAAATCTTTGTTTTATCAACACTGGTGATCGGATTTGAAAATATGAAGATAGTCTGAAGTCCAAGTTCAAGTTTAAGAAATGTGCCATGTGAGTATTTTTTTCAACCTAGAAAAGATTTAGTCCAATCACTCAATGCCTGATAAGTTGGAATTTTTTAAGGGGGAGTCAATTGTATTGTTAAATAATCAATCAATTCAAGGAGGCTTCAAGGATCACCAATCATTCGGAAACAAGCAGTTGCTTCATCATAACAAGAACTGTTCACGCGATAATGAAATTGGTATTTAGCGCTGACTGAAGAAAGTTTTATCTTGACATGATCAAAATACTTTTACCCTTTCAAATAATAGTTGCTCTGAATAAACACTTTAGCGCGAATTAGTCGTTGTGCCATTTTTTAGTTAACTTACTCCTTCAACTAAAACAATTTGAATGGTGCCAATTTGTTTCTGATTAAACTCTAAACTTTTATTTCGAGATATCATCGCTAACTCGTCATGTCGTCGTTTTTTCACTTCAATTGGTACATCATCAGTTAAATGATGATATGCAAAGGTTTTCTAAAACGAAGTCAAAATACAACAGTTAATGCAAATAGAGGAAGTGCAAGAAAACGAGTAAAAAACACTTAGTTGTTTATGTTAACAGATTGAATAAACATATTGTGGTGAAATGCATCGTAAATTTTCTTACTCTTAAGTATTAGAATACTGGATCATATACAGAATCGTATAAAGTGGGTCATAATGCCCTTTAATTTATTTTCAATGATTTAAACTTACTCGTCATAAATGTCCATTGGTCTGAACTCCCACAATTCTAAGGAGTATCCGGTGAGAGAGGACGAGTCAATAGTGAAAATTAAACACGGGTAGACATTTTTTTAAAAAAAGCAAGCGAATTCAAAGAACAACAAAGTGTGGAATAATAAAAAAGCAAACAACGGATGCATCTGTTGAATTACAATCGATTTCTAACTATATCACTTAGTGTCTCCAACAATTTTGACGGTTGCTGCATGGTCCTGAAGCAGACAATTTATACTTCTCAACAAGACTGACTAATATTTAATGGGTTTACAGATTGGTGGTAGGTCCTAGTTCGGTTATCCCTTAAGTTTTTTCAACTTGCTTCTATGCTAGTTACTACTGAGATGTTGGGGTAGGTGGTGGTTTGACATGCTCAGCATATTACCGGCACTAGTCTCTAGACGTTCACAGTCTTAACAAACGGACCTTAGTCGTAAACACGAGTATCATCAAACAAGGTACTGATCTACATAGTATGCATCAGCTTTGAAATGATTGGGTGAATGGGCCTAATGACCCATTCGTATGGGAGTTAGTACATGAATCTTACCACAGTAAACTTAATGTGGTGATGTGACAATACCGAGTTGGCATATAGTGTTTGGAGTATAACGAATTATTGATTCTTAACGATATTTTTTAAATGTTCTCATGTTAATAGACATGTAGAAAGAACTTTTACATTTAAATAGGGTGTGAGTTAAAGAACATACCAAAAGTCTTTATTTCACCTTAGTGTTTTTAAAAAATAACTTCCTAAGTAAAATAACCTAATCTACTGTGTTGATTTCCAGTTGTGCAGCTAGATAGTATTATTACCCTTCATATAGTACACTATTAGCATATGGTCGAGTATTTGATACATTAGACTCTGTTCAACGTTTAGCGACTGGTTCATTGCAGAAAGAGCTAATGGTTAATCGACATCAAAGAAATAAAAAAAGGAATTTTAAAAGCGATAGGGATGATGCATACCTCACGCATACTGTATGGGAAACAGAAACAAAATGAATAACCAACACGTTCAATAAGCTCAAGAGATTGAGAGTGATCTTCTTCAGTTTCACCACAAAATCCTGCGATAAAATCACTTGTAAGGCTAACATCTGGAAAAAAGATAACAATAGTATGAACTATGTGAGTATTCGAAAACGATCCATACAAACATATCAAAACTAGCACATTTAGTTAATTCCAGAACATTCGGCAGCTAATCAGAATTTAACTAGATTATAACAAGGAAATAAATACGGTCCTTAGGTGTATACATATATTCATAGAATGAAGCTCTTCATTGCAATATTAGAAAACCTAATTGATGCTTGGAATGAATAAGTTCCATCAGAAAAATATTTTAGGGAGAGCGAATTGCACAAACACTCTTAAGGCCTGTAGACTAAGCAAGAAGGAGACAGTCCGTATGTTCTTTCACTAAAATAAGACTGTTTAAAATGTAATGCATGAGATTTACAGACAACGATTTTGATTATCACAACTGATAATCTTCATTAAATCTGTTTGGTATTCACAAACTCTGTTTTCTTTTCGCTCCTCCTTTTCTGTTTCACAGAATGCTACTCAATACCAAGTAGAATGGGCTATTTGTTAATATTCCTGCTTGATGCAGTTTTGTATTGTTTCCTGACTTATAGGATTTTCTGCAAGTTTACTTACTGATTTAAAGTGAAGAATACGATCTTGTAGTTTTTGGTAAAATAACTGGCTCCTGTATACTTTACTATTTGCGGTTTGTAGATTGTTAGCGCTGAGTTATTTTCATTAACAAACTGTACGTTTGGAGAAGTCTAATCTATTTTATCTAAGGGATTTTAAGCGTAATTCGTCCCTTCCAAATTCTTGTAACAATACCACACTAGTTTTAGTCCCTAGATAGATTTGAATACTCCAAGGCAAACTGTTTGTTAAGAAAACTGGTTGTGTTCTGACTACTACTTTCTTAAATAAATGATTTCAAATCTCTTTTAGTCAGTTTTTTCAATCTAGGAAGTGACATTTATTTTATTAGCTCGATGGTATTAAAAAATCTAAATGGAATTAATCGTAAGTGCATAATATAACTTTTCTTGGTGCACCAGCTTATTAACTTAAACTAGACGATAAAAACTCATAATTACGGTAATTTAAATTTACAAATGAACTAAATAAAGGATACTAACTTGGAACTATTTCATGAATAGTGTTCACCAACTCTATATATGCTTGTCTAGTATAACCCCTTCTCATGTTTTCCAAAACAACACTACTGCCTGATTGCGCTGGTAAATGTATATTTGAACAAATATTTTTACGTTCAGAAATTAGTTGAAGAACCTATATGCAAATATCAATGAAGAAACTTGAAAATTCCACTTCGGTTCGATAAGAGTTGAAAGCCGGATAACATTATGACAAATAATAGCTCATTTACCAACAAAACATTTTTTCAACACCTAATACGTGCAGGTTTGAGACCAGGCTAGTTTTTTCGGGTTCGCTCTCCATGAGCTCTAGTTAGAAGCCGAATTTTTATTGAAACTAATGTTTTAGACATTATTTAGTTAGACTGATTCCTCTGTGATTGTCACAAAGGGATTTTTGTCCTTTCTCATAAACTGGAACGATCAGTGATCGAGACCAGTCGGATGGGATTACGTTAATTTTCCGGATTTTCGCTAAAATTTCAGTTAATGTAACTGCCAAAACTGAACCACCATCCTTAAAAATCTCAAAAGTTACTCCATTGTGCCCTGCTGCTGTCCTTCGCTTTAGGTTACTTATAGCTTTTTCAATCATACTAACAGGATTTACATCAGTTTGCCATTCAGGTTGCGTGGAGATAATGGGTAACTGAAGACCACTTAGGTTGTTTCCTAAAGTGTTTTGCCCACCGGTTCATTCTCCTGGATTGATAGTGAATAATAGTCCCGTCTTTTTTGGAGATAGTTTCACTAACAACCGGATTTTTAATACTCGTTTCCCTGATAAGCTTTGAACAGCTGTCTACTGTTACCTAATGATGCTGATTTTTACGTCTTCTGATTTCGCTGCCTACCACTGCTAACGATCATTACGTAGGCTTTTGATCAACCTTTTTTTAAGCTGCCTTCACTCTGAACGACCGACTAACTACCTTTCTGGTTGTTTCTGAAATATATTCTTAACGTAACGTAAATATGAAAAATTAGAAAAATAACTAACTAACCTCTTTTGGGAAATCTTTTGGATGTGGTGATGTGAATCGAATACGAAGTTCTGGACTAATCCGACTTACTTGATCTAATAAATCAAAAAATCTTAAACCACCAACTTTTGGTTTATAAACAGTTTTGAATCCAGGGACAAGTGTTGAAATCGTTTTAGACGAGTTGATTGGTAAGTCTGTATTCGACTTATCACAATAACTATTAACATTTTGTCCAAGCAACGTGATTTCTCTTACTCCCTTTCATTTGAATGAATGAAGGAAAAAGTAAAACAAAATAATTGAAAGTATCGAAGAAACCGTAGAATAATTGGGGGCAATATATTTAATATTGGTGAATTTAGAGTGACTAAAAGTTGGTGCAGTTATAAACTCATACTAGATCAACGAGAAAATTATGATTTAATATTATAAAATAGTAAAACGAACAGGGGATCCCAAAAACGCGACCTATTTTTAAAGGTTTAGTGAGTTATAACTTTCTATTTTAAGAAGTGTATGCTATGATTTTGCTGAGAGAATTATATTTCATACTGTTTTACAATTTAGAAGTTAGAGTGATTGAATTTCAACTACTTGGAAACCGGTTTCAAACACAATGGACTAAAAATGCATTGTCCCGGTAAACAGATTTATTTGTGTAAACTGGACCCAAATTATTTAGGAAAGGTTCTGTGGGAATTGAGTAAAATGCGGGATCAGTGATTAACACCATAATGTATAAACCTTTGTACGGGTATTCAGTCACAAGGACAGATTTCAATTGATGATAAGTACGTTTTACACTAGTATTAGAAATATTGTTAATAGAAACGTGAAAGTCTGCACAAAATCACAACAGAAGCTATAAGATTCTGATTGTCTTTTCGATGAATACTACAATAAACATTTAGGTACTATCTCCATCACTCGATATACCACATAATAGTCTTTTTTCAAGTAAAGTAGTTAATCATGAAATATTTTCTTTGATTGAAGCTTATGAGTAATTGATGCCTAAAATATCCAATCCCATGGTCCTAACACGAAATACACTTTACGAGTTCATACTGATAGTTGTATTACTTGTTACAAAATTAAGTAATTGAGACAATATATCACGCGAATCACCAACCAGTCAATTACTGACTGTATGTCCCTAGAAAAAACCTTACATTGACAAATGTTACAAGACAGGTAAAAGAAAACAAGGATTGTATAGCCGATTTGGATCTTAACATAATTAAATAAAAATACACTCGTATATTTCTTTTGTGCGAACTGCAAATCTCCATCTTTTGATTATGTGGTAACTAAATACGGTCTGCAAAGAGGTTACAGGTTCTGGAGCAAGATATTTGACCTAGGTGGCAAAATCGTTGTCATCCACCAATAAGGCCGGGCGATGTTGTGTGATAATACAAATCAGTTTAAGTTACAGATGTAAGCACCAGTGAATATCAACTCAATGATCTGAAGATAATATGGCCGCTGTGCAACTTTAAAGTCCCTGGACGGGTGCATATTGTTGATACGTCTTGTACTACAATGAAACAGTTTTAAAATGAGCTCTGATATTTTAAGGTACCCCATCTACTATCATTCGATGGTAAAAACTAACATTACGATGGAATAACACGGGATTCTGTACGTACAGCAACGACTGAATTGTACTTTTATCAGTGATGGAAAAATGGTAGATTATAAATTGAGAAATTTAAAAATGTTGAAAAAAGGATAAGCTACCTTGCACATAGATTTAACATTTTTCAAATAAATTTCGTTTTGATTATTAGCAGAGAGTATGAATAAATGTTGAACTGATCTAAATATAAGTAGACCGATGTTACAGTACTTGTTCATTAGCATAACTTCGTCAAAGCTAGTTTCTACTAGTATACCAAACAATCCGACCGAAGTAAGCTAGTACATTATACCGGGAAAAAATATAAATACGATTTTGTTCACACAGATAACCCTTGATAACACATAAAATTTCGCTTATAAGAAAATGAAATAATGGGATTACAATATCTGTAAGCATGAAATCTTGCCCCTATGAATAACGGACTTCTAGTTATCAAGAAACATACGTGAACATACCTCATTAAATAAGCTTTGTGCTTCGTGAAGGATTGAATCTAATGGTCTACTGCGTTCACGTCCTCTGACAAAAGGTACAATACAATAGGTGCACATATTATCACACCCACGCATAACTGATAAGAAAGCAGTAGGAGAAGGAACCGGGTCTGAAGACCCGTCAGTTGTAAAATGACGTCGTACAGGAGTTACATCTGCATATGTCTCTTCCAGAGACAACGCGACGCTAGCACCTTTTAGTCCAGAATGAGCATCTTCAATAAGTTTCGGCAAATCACGATAAGAATCAGGGCCGCAAACGAAATCCGCGGCAACATTGAAACTATTGTGACCAAAACTAGATGACTGAAGATCACCCGCTTTTGAGGTTTTACAGCTGTTATCCATAAGGAGTTTATCCTTTAACCTTTTGGCCATACATCCTGAAATTTAATTAGGTAAAATATCATTAACATATTGTCGAACTTGACTACTATTATTATTGTTGTGCCTAGTTTAGAAGACCACATTTTGTTAATATCATCCAACGGTCATATGGTATGCTTGGACCGATATTCGATTGCGTTAAAGATTTTTTGGAATTGTTTACTACACTTTTGTGGTACTTTAAACGTTGTTTTCAGACGCATAGTTGTAATACTTCTAAAAAGACTATACTTCGAAATTTCCATGCAGTCACGGTTGTGCAACTCCCCTTGGTGAAACCACCTTGTCCACAAATTTTGAGCGCCAAACACTTGCTTTATGTCCTTTGACCTTTTAGAAACGCCCCCGCCACCTGAATGCAGTAACTGAGATTTTTTTGGTATAGGCTATAAACGTGTGATAGCATCACGAAAGAGGACTCCGGACACCTAGCGTAATAGTATGGCGTTCGCCCCATCTCTATTCTGTCAAATATTTGAACACTGTCACACTTATCACAACCCAATAGTCGTTACATTTCTTGACATCTGAGACGACTTCGACGTTTTGGATATGACTGTTCATTAGGACTGTCTGTAGAAGAGTGTATCTGGGAAGCTTAACATTTTCGAGGCTCTTTACACAAACACATCAGATAAAGTGAGGGCATATAACCACCCCTCTCCAATGCAACAGTCAAACAGTGGAGATATAAAGGGTTGCCAAATATCACCATACCTCTTTAACTCTGCCACCGATAACATTCTAAGAACAGCTCTGAAAGAAGTACGTGGTGATGTAGATCTGTTACATGGGGAAAGACTTCACCTTGAGTATACATATGACGTTGTTGTACTGTGCAAAGATACACAGACTATTTAAGTCACACTTGAGCAGTTGGCATCTAGTATTTGTAAGTACTGAATCTACTTTCCACCTTTGAAGTGGAAAGGACTCTTACATCACGAGAGGAGATTGCTACAAACCGTTAAAAGTTGTCGAAAAATCCATTTATCGGGATGATTGCGTGAGTCCAGGTGATGAGGTGACAGATGGAACCAATCTACACAGTAAAATTAGAGCAAATTATCCCAATCTGGGAGATCTCCGACGCTGTAGTGATGTTAGTCTGCCTGCCTATCTGTCTAGTTGACGAGCTGATTAGAAAAGTTCTGCTCTACGTTTTTAAAACACTACTAATTCGAGTTAATAGCGTTTGACAACTCTCCGTGTTAAATTATCGTTGCTTCCAAACAGTTGAAGGTATTTAGTGTCAACACTGTTTAGCTAGGCTGAGGTTCAGGAATGTATGTTTGGGCACAGTGACAATAATTCAGTTGGTGTTACCATGTTGAAACACAGTCCTTGGTGGCTTAAACATGTTTTACAGATGTCACTGCAGGGGCCTCTATGTCATGCATTGTTTGCCAACACTAAAAATGGAAGCAATGTGGAGAGGTGGTCATTTCATGATATGAAGCTCTAGTTTTTATTGAACTGTATGTCTTATTAAATACTAAACTTGTTTGTAAATTGATTGCAATACTCTTCTCTTCTTTGGTTCATTACAATATTATTACTTCATTTGTGTAGTACAATTTTGTCGCTGCCCAGTTGTGAAAGAACTTGTGTGTTTCGTTTAAGATAGTAAATGACTAGTGCAAACCCCATAATGTTTTGGCTCGATAGACATAATTCCACAGACCAGTTTATCAAAGTTTATGCAGGGTTTCGGTTATTGTCATTCTGAATCATGATTGGCAAACGTAATGAACTTTTTTTACTAGCCTCCAACATTTAGTAAAATACCAGTTATTAAGACGAAAATATCAGCCTTACAAGAATAAAACTGGGAACATCACAAAACCAATGAGTCCCTGTCTGTCATTTCGAAGCGGCTACAATGCCGAGTTGCCATCCAACGATTTTTATTTTATTTAAACACATAAATATTGGTACAAGGAAGCACCAGATAAATATACGCCTCACAAATCTCATTCGATTTGTGTGAGGGCTGTGATACTGCTCAGGTGCCCAGACTGAAGCAGGTGGTTTTCTTAGGGGGCCACACCCGGAGCCTTTGACCTGAATATCTGATCCACAAGGCAGTGGAGCATCGTGAGGAGATGCAGTCCCGTGGTAACCGGTGATCAACGGTTGATTCGTACGCCATTTGTTCCCTCAGGATACTGGAGCCCATGTGCACCACTGGTTTGGAATCAGGGTTTTCCAACTCCCCTAGGTGAACTTTCCATGTCCACCAACCCGGTTAAAGCGCCGGACATTCGTTTTTCGTCCTCTCACTTTCGTAAACAACACCCCCGCCACGAGAAGGCAGTGAGTAGGACTTCCCTGGCAGAGGCTACATATTCGCTGGCCATATGAGAGCATTTCGAGAGGGAGAGGTGACTCCCCACTCTCGGCCGTACCAGGGCACTCAATCTGACAGTGAAGCTTTCAGTTTTTACAAACTTGTATATTTTATTATCTTAATTATGTGTTTCTAATCTTTTCTATCTGCATCGTACCTTAAAAATACAGGAAGCATGTTACACTAGATTACTAGGAAACCGAAATGAATAAACTTATTGTTATGGGAAAACAAGGTCGTGTTTCCAAAGGCTTCTTAGAGCGCACAACTTTCAGTGATTATATAACGGGGTCAAACCTCACTTTATCTAAATCAGTTTGATTGAACACGTAGTATCATTAGCCCTCACAAAAAAGGCAGGACCGAAATCCGAGTATACATGAGGCTGTCATTTGTTAGTGATTAACCTTACAAGTTGTGTTTCGGAAGTCAAGAACATTCCATTAATTATACAAAAACCATTCAGATCTTTTATAAAAGGCCCACGAAAGGATATTTCATCATAGAAGCTTATAAAGAGACCCTACAACATACGCATTATTGAATCTAAGATTATGTTTAAAACAAGATACTTACCTAGAACACCTATTTTTACATATTTACGATGAAGAGATCGCAGGTGTTGAATACGTCGCCAAATCTTTACTTCAGCACTATCTCGAATGGCACATGTCATGAGCAAAACAGTGTCACACTGTAGGATTATATTTGATGCAATGTACCAACCTGTTCATCAGACGGGACAATAGCATACCCAGCTTTTGTTAATAAACTCTGAGCAATATTGGCATCACTACGGTTCATTTGACACCCATAAACTTCAATATAGACTGAAACGAATGGGTTTGCTTAGAGTTCAAGATGCATACTTTTGTCACGGATGGGAGCACAAAGAGAACTTGCCTGATTGCAAATTTATTTAAAATGTAGCTATTACCTTTGTAAATGTTCGTATTCCAGTCGAGATCTTCCCAATACTTGTACGAAATCCAATCATTGATGGAATGCTTAAGATGGACTAAAATTTTGGAAAATATTACTGTTGTATGTAGATATGTTAATTCTACCAAATAAAAAGTTATAGATTTAACCCGATTCTACAAATAAACCCCCCATAAGAAACAAAAACATATTAAACAGTGAATGAATAGTTTCAGCCATTCGTCACACTTTAAGTTTAAGAGTATTCTTGAATCCTTTCATGTGTGGTAGTTTTAAGATGCATCCATTGTTGTACACTGCACATGCTGAGTGCACCCTTTAAAATTGTTTGTAGTGTAGATGCTGGATGAAACTAAAGTACATAAGTCAGGTTTCTTATAAATATTTAGTGAACTTTAGTACGTTTTGAACAAACTAGTACATGGATGTAGCAGCAATGACTTTGCTGATAGATCGCTTTATAGCTAAACGGTAAATACCAAACTAACTATTAAAAATTGAAAGACAAAAACAATTAAATGAGAAGACTTATTCCAAAATAAAATTAACAAATGGAATGAATGACTCCTAATCTCTCGGTAATTTCAAGAGAAATTATAATAAAATTCATGAAAGCAGGAAAATGCATCAAATGAGGCCTGTCACTGATAACATGATCACTTAGATAGCCCTTATAAACTTTGGGATTTGAAGGGTAATACACGTTTGACATTCCCAGAAAGCATGGTAATACATTTGTCTTGAAACAAAAACTATCTGAAATAATATACTTTGCTCTCTTTACTTTTGCACATATTAAGTGAATGAAATTTTCGATTGGGAATACGAAATCTGGAGGAGTCCTCATCAAATATAGGCAGATAACTGATGATTTATCAAAGTGGGTTGTTGTTACATTCGTGTTTTTAGCTTTAAAGATCCACTTAACTTTTGTAAATTAGCATGACAGTTGATAATCTTAAGGTATTCAATTTAAATATCGAAGTTTAAGTCAAAGTCATTAGCAACCAACGGAAGAGTTTTGCAGTTAAACTGAGATAAAATCTGCACGGACGTTCATGCAAAGTTAATTGTCACCAGATAAACAAGCATGAAATCCGTAGACTAAAATCGTGTTGGAAATAAAGTGATCTCAATGAAATTCAAAAACGTTCGCAGAACCAATTACTTAATAGTAACTTATTTTGAAAGATAAATCACAGTCCTAGTTAGAAGCTAAGACTAGTGAAGTCAAAATGTTTCTGATGTGAGGCAGTTAACGACTAAAGACTGGATAGTTGTGCTGCATAACAAATCGAATGAAGTTAGACATAAATGGCGGTTAAGCACTCATCACAATACCTGAAGGTCTTGAGTTCATTCAGCTGTGGGGTCTTAAATCCCTACCGCAAAAATGTCTCCACAAACCCCTATATTGATGAAGATTAAACCTGTTAAACAAGCTTCATTACGCATGATTAACAGGCGATTTCAATCGTCTTATCGTAGACCAACTGACAATGAACTTGGACAGTGTGTACCAAAGTACATTTTAGGCATGGCCCCATATGTTGAACAACCAATATGGAGTAAAATAAGAAAAACGATAGGAATATAATTTTTGGGCGAATCAATCACATACCAGACAGAGTCCCGGATCTTAAGTAAGAGCCGAGTTAAAAGCAGATTTCTTTCATAACGGATCCTAACTTTACTGATACTTTTAAAGAGCTGCTGTTGAGTGTATCGCTTGATCAACAGTGAGACTGTAGTGCCATGCTTCGCTTATCGTTCACCTCGATAACCGTTATAATACAAATATTAACGGTGCATAAAATCAGAAGGCAAAGAGAAGCGGCAACTAGTTTTATCAACAAATGACGCAGGCCAGAAAGCTATGAGCACAGGAGTAAATATCAGCGAGCAAAGCGAAAATAACGCACATTAGAGATGACGGGTAAGCCAACTCGCTTTAATCAATATTTATAGTCAGATAAGAATAAGTTACAGACATGTGATGATTAAGATAAAAAGTGTACACACACATACGCTCATATAAAAAGTGGTCAGGGTTAATAAGCACATAATTAGCAAGATCAAAACATGACTCATGATGGATAGGTGAATTGACTTTTCCAGAAGCTAGGATAAAGTATACGAGCTTAACATATCAACCGACATTACAAGACTACAGCAGAGTGGAACCAAGGAAGCGCGTCACACTCTACTAGATGCTTGTCAACTATTTGTAGATGAACCCCATTGTTGTTGTCCAGATAAGAAGATGAACCAGGTGAGTACTTCTTTAGACGCCCAACATGCTTCTTTTACTTTATCCGATATCAGTTCTTAAATGAAAACCCTAGCTCCAAACCAAAACAACCATCTAAACCTATTTTAAAACTATTGTTAAGGACGTAAAGCAAAGTTTTTGATTCCAACTGTTTTAGCAGCGGATTTTAAGTTACTAGGCATAGCTTATAAACTAATTATGTATGGTAACTGCAATAAATGGAAAAAATGATCGAAATAACAACGCCATAGACAAAATTTCACAAAGCTTTGATTGAGTTTTCATTTCATCTTTATATAAATACGAATAAAGATAAGTAAATATCAACGGACGGAAGCCGTAATCACCAAGTGACCCTGAAATGAATGACCATGAATATTTGAAAGTACTTTCTCAGACATTCAATAAACAATCTTCAACTCTGTTTCCTACGTCCTAGGAAAGACTTGTTATTTGCCTATTCATCATGTATTACTTACACAGAATCTTTCACTTTGTGTTTGCGAAATACACGTGACTGGTTTAATTAGCCAAGCTCTAACAACGATGGTCTCACAATTCATGTGGGTATTGATGGAATTGAAGAAACTGTTGGGCTCTGTATCTAATTGTTGTGGATCATAGATGCATTCGGGCCGGAATCTGGGTTTTTGAAGGGACGAGAATTGTAGTGAGTTACTGTCTTGAGTCCTTGAGAATATGTAGAGTTTTCTCTAAAATTCGCTTGCACAATCTATTCAGTGAGCAAATACAAGAATTTAGATACTCTCTAGCTGAAATAAGAGTTGAGGTCTTTTCTGCTTAATTCTTTCTCTGATTCATATGTTACTATCATGTCTAATCAAGGAATAAGTATAGGTGAGTGTTCAACTGACAGCTTAAATTAAATTACATGCGTCTACATTTGAAGCTTTATTGTCGTGAATAACCAAAAAAAGTAGTGCCACTCAAAGACTAGTAAAATAAGTACGTTTTAGCATAGTTAAGTGGATGAAATTCTTGTCGGAGTTGTTCGGAAAAACAATGCTATTAGTATTTCAGATGATCATTTAATACTAATTAGTAGTCACATCACACTGTGAACACCGTTTATAATCGATGATAATTGACCTCTCTTATTACTGGTTTTTCGTATTAAGCATTATTTCGGTACACCACTTTTATAAAGCTTATTGAATGCCTGATAAGTTGGAATTTTTTAAGGGGGAGTCAATTGTACTGTTAAATAATCAATCTGTAGAACATCAACGTTGATGTTCTATCGTCGAAATGTTTGGAGGGGCCTACTAAAGTTAGACGAGAATGGTGACGAACCAACTAACGCTGAAGTCACACCTCGCGACCAGCACCTTACATGGATTGCCCCCATCGACGTAACAAGGTACTATGGACGCTATGGAGACTGTACAACACAAAGGACGTTATTACAAGAATATATTAGTTAAGGTACAAACACGAAGGTGCAGAAGTGAAAGAAAGAACCACTGCCGCGTGAGCCAGTCCATGGCATATTATTGATTGATGAGCGTTGACTATCCTTGACATTGACAGGGATCGATGATCTGTTCGATATTCAGTGACATTTCACCGACCCTACAATACTCCCCCACCAGATTCAACGGCCGTTTGAATCGATACCAAACATGTTGGGAGTAGTCGCGCGCCGGAGGTTGCCAGACGATTGATACGAATCCTCCGGGTATTGCCGAGCTGTAAAAGAAATGGAAAGGAGGCGGCAGAAACTGATCGGGAAACAACGGGTAATAACACGTAACAAGGACGTTGGTTGAATGTTAAGCGATCAACCATAGAAATAATAGAAAAAGAAACATGACGTTTTAGAGTTTTATCAAGTCACGTTGAAAAAGATAGCTCTGACAAGTGGTTGAGTTCCTCGGATGAGAAACGTTAAATTGGCCGAAAGAGTAGTGATGTCACAGTGATAGTACGATAAGCGTATTATCTATCGATGCCAATGTTTGCACTGTCATCGTTTCAGAGTAGAAAGTCAGTAAGTGTCGTTGACAACTGTTCGTAATCGTCGATTTCTAGTTATATCTATATTTAACAGACTAACTGTAAGTACAGAAGTATAACCGTGAAGATAAAACATGGTTTCCTTGTGTTAAGCTTCTGATCAACTTGCAGTCAGTTTGGAAAAACTTATAACTGCTGTGACAATCAAGAAGGGTCGAAGAATACAGATCGAGAGAGAATGTGGCACGATGAAGTCTCTAAAAGATGATAAACGGTGAGTGCTGCATGTTTGTTCGATGAGTGAACCGAAAAAATGTCGAAAAGAACATAAGAAACCAAGAGTGTCACTCTGGACTCATGTCAATGATATCGGTGAAAAATGCTGTCAGTGTTGGGGTCGAGACGACAATATCGTTGTCGGTTTGCAGGAGATTCGCTCGACTGCGTAAACTGATGATTCGTGCGAGTGTCGTCCAAACACCAATTGAACTGGACAGGCTTTAGATCGTCGAGTAGTTGAACAGCCGATTGATGTACCGAAATCATCTATTAGATAACAGTCACGCGGAAACAATACTTCATAATATAAAAAAATACGACGTCGAAGTTGAATAACTACAATAGTTCGGATGTGTTGTAATGTCACATCGAAGTAACATCATTTCGTATACTGACAATTGTACTGAACGTTCGGTTGGGCATTGTTTATGTAGCAATTGGATGTGCAGTAGCAAAAGTGTACGAAAACTATCGTGAGGTTCGTAGAGAATTTCAAAGGACGTTTAGATATTTTCCAAACCCGTATTGCATGTGAATAAGCCGAAGACGGAATTAAAGTGACTTTCGTGCAATAAGGAAATCGAGCCATGATTTACTGTGTGAGATAACAGCAAATACAAAGCGCATAGTAAACATTAATTTAAATGGTAACCACCAATGTAACTAAAGTTAAGGTTTAGATAACGTGATCGTTTCGTAAAAGAGCTTATTATCTCGTGTTAAGTGACATTAAATACGATGAATTGTCTAGTAAGGACATAGACTAAGATTGCTCGTGTACACGTAATACGTTTTTCAACAGCATGACTTACGAGTCATAAATGTACATGGTTTCGACTAAAACTTGACGGCAGTGACGGAATATATGACTAATTTACGTGAAAATAGTCGCGAAATGTTATTAGTCATCATAAAACATTATACGTAATTATCTAATGCAGTTATAAAACTCGCCTGGGTTACTCTTGCTCCAAATTAATTGAAATTTGTTGATTAAATTCGTAGATTAACGAAGCGTTGTAGACTGAATTGGTATACGTCCAAATTTAATTTGAGCCAAACACGTAGCATTGACTGGCGAAACAGTCTAAACAAGATCTAACATTGGAAGAAATTTATAGTTCAAACTCACCGTAAATTTGTAGCATTCTTATCTTCTGATTTGCCATGGAACTCAGCAATTGGAAATTAGGCAGGCAGTGGTCAAGAAAGTAAAATATTCTAGTAGATAGTTTCTGATAGTAGTTTGTTGATAGTGATTAAGCAGAAAGATGAATTTATAATCGACAGTTAATCCTGTATTGGTTATACAAGTGGATAAGTTGCAAAAAGATATTCGTTCGTGTTGCCTTGAGGCTATACTTACGAGTGGTTGATATTTTAACAGACATATTACACAGGAGCATTTACATGCTGCTAATGCTTGTTAAAGAACCACGATAGTCGATTATAGTCGTAGTTGATTGGTTAGTTCTGTCGATTGAACTAATTATTTCAGTTGAAATACTAATCAACATTGGTATGAAGCAACGAATGTTCACAGAAACTGATAAAGATAGCCAAAGTTAAAAATGAAAAATAATAAGTATAGAATGCAATAAAAAAAATCGTAATAATAGTTTGCGTTATTCGAAGTCTTGCTCACCAGTGTCGACGAGGTAGCGAACTTTCGTAGTCACATCCGTGACATATAACAGACGGCTGTGTTCGCCGGCTACAGTTGCCGTTAACGCGTGCCGGCTGGGAAGTTTCCCGAAATCTTATTCGTGTCAGTCGATTTTGAGGTCGGATAATTGCAAGGTTTCCTGCAATTTTTGGAAAACTTACCGTACTGGTTATGATACCAGCACCAGTCGGGATTGTCTGTCTCTCGTGGTCGAGAGCCAGATCGCTTACGTGAAACGCTTCTACGCGGGGTTTTTGACCGACTACGGTCATTGCGAACTCTAAGATATCGTGTAAGCGTGTGACATAGTTCGGTTATGTCAGACGGGGTCGATTGAGGTTTTTTTTTGACGGAAAAGACCTCGGCCTTAGAAGATCTAGTGATTTCCAAGATTCGATCGGCAGATGCAGCTAGTTCATCTATGGCATTGGTTTGAAATGAAACAAGCACTGCCTGAGCCTGTTGAGGGAGTTTAGACAAGAAAAGTTGTCTAAATAGGCCATCATCGAAAGTTCGTTGGCCGATGACTTCTCTCATTCTAAGCAACATGTCCGTCGCAGAACCATGTTGCAAGTCGATATTGTTAAGGAGTTGGTCTAACCGTTGTCGATCAGTTAGGTCTCCGCGTTTTAAAATCTATAGTTTAAGCGTTTCGTAAGGTTCGGGAACATCACTAGTGAACATACTAGGTGTTACGTACCTGTTAAACTCGCGCGGTAACACCTTAACTACCGCGAGGAAACGTGTGCGCGAGTCCGTGATTCCGTGCATGCAAAAATCGGCTTCTGCATAGCAGAACCAGGACTCGATATTGTCGGGCCAAAATGGCGTTAACTGAATCGAAATAGGGGGAATAGACTTAAACTTAAGAACCTTAGGAGAGTGTTCCGTCATGGTAATATAGATAACGAAAAATGTCTAAGTAAAATATATCCGGGAAAAAAATTCGCGAAAAAAAGTATATCACAATATATAAAATTCAAATAAAGAATAACAATGAATCAGAAGGCTGCGTGTTCGAACCACGTCGGGCTCACCAGTGTAGAACATCAACGTTGATGTTCTATCGTCGAAATGTTTGGAGGGGCCTACTAAAGTTAGACGAGAATGGTGACGAACCAACTAACGCTGAAGTCACACCTCGCGACCAGCACCTTACATGGATTGCCCCCATCGACGTAACAAGGTACTATGGACGCTATGGAGACTGTACAACACAAAGGACGTTATTACAAGAATATATTAGTTAAGGTACAAACACGAAGGTGCAGAAGTGAAAGAAAGAACCACTGCCGCGTGAGCCAGTCCATAGCATATTATTGATTGATGAGCGTTGACTATCCTTGACATTGACAGGGAACGATGATCTGTTCGATATTCAGTGACATTTCACCGACCCTACAAATCAATTCAAAGAGGCTTCAAGGATCACCAATCATTCAGAAACACGCAGTAGCTTCATCATAACATGAACTGTTCACGCGATAATGAAATTGGTATTTAGTGCTGACTGAAGAAAGTTTTATCTTGACATGATCAAAATACTTTTACCATTTCAAATAATAGTTGCTCTGAATAAAAACTTTAGCGCGAATTAGTCGTTGTGCCATTTTTTAGTTAACTTGTGGTGTGGTCTACTTATATCCATATAAGTAGTATATGGTGTGGGTCAGACATAGAATGTATTTTGGCAGAAGACCGATGAGGAAAGAACTGAAATGAAGCGCAATCGTCTCGGAAATGCATGAGCAATGGAATAAGAGAAGAAACAGTGACGATTGAAACAATTGGCTGTTAATTTGCAAATTGACTGTTCATTGTTTGGTAATCAGAATTTGCCGAGATAGTCTGTAATCTTTGCTTAAATACATTCGATTGTCCCCAACTAGCGTTCTGTTCACTACAAACTTACTCCTTCAACTAAAACAATTTGAATGGCGCCAATTTGTTTCTGATTAAACTCTAAACTTTTATTTCGAGATATCATCGCTAACTCGTCATGTCGTCGTTTTTTCACTTCAATTGGTACATCATCAGTTAAATGATGATATGCAAAGGTTTTCTAAAACGAAGTCAAAATACAACAATTAATGCAAATAGAGGAAGTGCAAGAAAACGAGTAAAAAACACTTAGTTGTTTATGTTAACAGATTGAATAAACATATTGTGGTGAAATGCATCGTAAATTTTCTTACTCTTAAGTATTAGAATACTGGATCATATACAGAATCGTATAAAGTGGGTCATAATGCCCTTTAATTTATTTTCAATGATTTAAACTTACTCGTCATAAATGTCCATTGGTCTGAACTCCCACAATTCTAAGGAGTATCCGGTGAGAGAGGACGAGTCAATAGTGAAAATTAAACACGGGTAGACATTTTTTTAAAAAAAGCAAGCGAATTCAAAGAACAACAAAGTGTGGAATAATAAAAAAGCAAACAACGGATGCATCTGTTGAATTACAATCGATTTCTAACTATATCACTTAGTGTCTCCAACAATTTTGACGGTTGCTGCATGGTCCTGAAGCAGACAATTTATACTTCTCAACAAGACTGACTAATATTTAATGGGTTTACAGATTGGTGGTAGGTCCTAGTTCGGTTATCCCTTAAGTTTTTTCAACTTGCTTCTATGCTAGTTACTACTGAGATGTTGGGGTAGGTGGTGGTTTGACATGCTCAGCATATTACCGGCACTAGTCTCTAGACGTTCACAGTCTTAACAAACGGACCTTAGTCGTAAACACGAGTATCATCAAACAAGGTACTGATCTACATAGTATGCATCAGCTTTGAAATGATTGGGTGAATGGGCCTAATGACCCATTCGTATGGGAGTTAGTACATGAATCTTACCACAGTAAACTTAATGTGGTGATGTGACAATACCGAGTTGGCATATAGTGTTTGGAGTATAACGAATTATTGATTCTTAACGATATTTTTTAAATGTTCTCATGTTAATAGACATGTAGAAAGAACTTTTACATTTAAATAGGGTGTGAGTTAAAGAACATACCAAAAGTCTTTATTTCACCTTAGTGTTTTTAAAAAATAACTTCCTAAGTAAAATAACCTAATCTACTGTGTTGATTTCCAGTTGTGCAGCTAGATAGTATTATTACCCTTCATATAGTACACTATTAGCATATGGTCGAGTATTTGATACATTAGACTCTGTTCAACGTTTAGCGACTGGTTCATTGCAGAAAGAGCTAATGGTTAATCGACATCAAAGAAATAAAAAAAGGAATTTTAAAAGCGATAGGGATGATGCATACCTCACGCATACTGTATGGGAAACAGAAACAAAATGAATAACCAACACGTTCAATAAGCTCAAGAGATTGAGAGTGATCTTCTTCAGTTTCACCACAAAATCCTGCGATAAAATCACTTGTAAGGCTAACATCTGGAAAAAAGATAACAATAGTATGAACTATGTGAGTATTCGAAAACGATCCATACAAACATATCAAAACTAGCACATTTAGTTAATTCCAGAACATTCGGCAGCTAATCAGAATTTAACTAGATTATAACAAGGAAATAAATACGGTCCTTAGGTGTATACATATATTCATAGAATGAAGCTCTTCATTGCAATATTAGAAAACCTAATTGATGCTTGGAATGAATAAGTTCCATCAGAAAAATATTTTAGGGAGAGCGAATTGCACAAACACTCTTAAGGCCTGTAGACTAAGCAAGAAGGAGACAGTCCGTATGTTCTTTCACTAAAATAAGACTGTTTAAAATGTAATGCATGAGATTTACAGACAACGATTTTGATTATCACAACTGATAATCTTCATTAAATCTGTTTGGTATTCACAAACTCTGTTTTCTTTTCGCTCCTCCTTTTCTGTTTCACAGAATGCTACTCAATACCAAGTAGAATGGGCTATTTGTTAATATTCCTGCTTGATGCAGTTTTGTATTGTTTCCTGACTTATAGGATTTTCTGCAAGTTTACTTACTGATTTAAAGTGAAGAATACGATCTTGTAGTTTTTGGTAAAATAACTGGCTCCTGTATACTTTACTATTTGCGGTTTGTAGATTGTTAGCGCTGAGTTATTTTCATTAACAAACTGTACGTTTGGAGAAGTCTAATCTATTTTATCTAAGGGATTTTAAGCGTAATTCGTCCCTTCCAAATTCTTGTAACAATACCACACTAGTTTTAGTCCCTAGATAGATTTGAATACTCCAAGGCAAACTGTTTGTTAAGAAAACTGGTTGTGTTCTGACTACTACTTTCTTAAATAAATGATTTCAAATCTCTTTTAGTCAGTTTTTTCAATCTAGGAAGTGACATTTATTTTATTAGCTCGATGGTATTAAAAAATCTAAATGGAATTAATCGTAAGTGCATAATATAACTTTTCTTGGTGCACCAGCTTATTAACTTAAACTAGACGATAAAAACTCATAATTACGGTAATTTAAATTTACAAATGAACTAAATAAAGGATACTAACTTGGAACTATTTCATGAATAGTGTTCACCAACTCTATATATGCTTGTCTAGTATAACCCCTTCTCATGTTTTCCAAAACAACACTACTGCCTGATTGCGCTGGTAAATGTATATTTGAACAAATATTTTTACGTTCAGAAATTAGTTGAAGAACCTATATGCAAATATCAATGAAGAAACTTGAAAATTCCACTTCGGTTCGATAAGAGTTGAAAGCCGGATAACATTATGACAAATAATAGCTCATTTACCAACAAAACATTTTTTCAACACCTAATACGTGCAGGTTTGAGACCAGGCTAGTTTTTTCGGGTTCGCTCTCCATGAGCTCTAGTTAGAAGCCGAATTTTTATTGAAACTAATGTTTTAGACATTATTTAGTTAGACTGATTCCTCTGTGATTGTCACAAAGGGATTTTTGTCCTTTCTCATAAACTGGAACGATCAGTGATCGAGACCAGTCGGATGGGATTACGTTAATTTTCCGGATTTTCGCTAAAATTTCAGTTAATCTAACTGCCAAAACTGAACCACCATCCTTAAAAATCTCAAAAGTTACTCCATTGTGCCCTGCTGCTCTCCTTCGCTTTAGGTTACTTATAGCTTTTTCAATCATACTAACAGGATTTACATCAGTTTGCCATTCAGGTTGCGTGGAGATAATGGGTAACTGAAGACCACTTAGGTTGTTTCCTAAAGTGTTTTGCCCACCGGTTCATTCTCCTGGATTGATAGTGAATAATAGTCCCGTCTTTTTTGGAGATAGTTTCACTAACAACCGGATTTTTAATACTCGTTTCCCTGATAAGCTTTGAACAGCTGTCTACTGTTACCTAATGATGCTGATTTTTACGTCTTCTGATTTCGCTGCCTACCACTGCTAACGATCATTACGTAGGCTTTTGATCAACCTTTTTTTAAGCTGCCTTCACTCTGAACGACCGACTAACTACCTTTCTGGTTGTTTCTGAAATATATTCTTAACGTAACGTAAATATGACGTAAATATATGGATCCTCTATACTCTTTTTGAAGACGCAGTATACATTAATAATGCGAGGTCTTAGAGACTAGGTTTGAACTAGGTTTGACACTAGGTTTGAACATTGAATGCTACAACATGTAGTTCAGAGTGTGGTTTCAGGGGACCATAAATGATATTTCGTGAACTGAAATCACTAACATTGGTGGCACATGTTGATAAAGATAAATGTAAAGTATCATTTGTAGGGATGGAAGGTTTATTAGGAGGTGAGAGTTTATTCGATCGTTAAGATGATGATCTTGGATGCTGATCGAGCTATGAAGCTGATAGTCACTTTTTGGTGAATTAGTGGTGGTCTTGTTGACCTGGAAGAGTGATCGCAGAGCCCGAGGGAAAACTGCCTGAGGCCATTTGCGCATGGCGTTTCTATGGAAAGTGTAAACTTCGCACTTCAAATGGTCTTGCTGCAGGATTTGTAAGTCCATCGGATAAGGTGAGATGTAACATTTTTAATGTCAACATTCTCTATCTCCTTTTGTTGTGAGGTGGAATTAGAGGATGGTTTTTTGAGGGAAATACGTTATTGCTTTAATGTCTCTCTGCAATCATCACTACGACTTCTACAACGGAACCTATATTTCTACTTTTATTCTTATTGTTCTTAAACCAATCTGCTTGGCATGTTAAGACCTTGTGGAACATGTGTGTCAGTAATACAGATCTGTTCAGTATTCACGATGGGCAAGTTCAAACACCACTTTAAGGAAGTAGCTATGGCAATGCAAGTGCATTTTACTTGATTAAAGAACAGCGATTAAGTCTCCTCTGGTCTGCCGATATGACTAGGCAAATAATTTTAATTTCGCCAATACTTTGTCGTACGGCAGTGATTTTGAACCTTTCTCAACAGATCTCTGTGTTGTGCCAGGCAGGAACTGACTCTATTTTTGAAATACTTGTGTTTGGGATGAACGGAAACAGTGAACAAACTCAAAAATATCTTAGTATCGACTAGGCCCAAGGTTCTACGTATTGACCATAGGATTCTAAAATCTTTGACGACACTTAAAGGTAGAGTGGAGTAACTATCTAGCCCTGACGATGACTCTTAGGTCATTATGTCCGGAAAACAGACAGCTTAATGTAATTTGCCATTTGTTTACCTGTGCCTTGATGAGCTGTATGTATCACAAAGCCATTGGACAACTTCGAATTTTTAGACCATTCAGATAATCTCTGAAGATCATTTTGAAGTTCAGAATGATCAAATTTATTCTTCGCTGCTTTTTTTACCCTGATGCCGTCAGCATACAAGATGCTAGGTGAAAGGAATTTAAGAGGGGAGTTACATATCGAAGGAACCACATTGAGCCCAAATCTATACCGTGGGGAACTTCAATAAACACAGTTTACCAGCACGACAACTTGGAATTAATTCGATTTTCGCTTAGAAACTCAAACGGACCCTTCAGAATAACTTTCCCGAAGATCCTAACAATCACGCTGGTTAGGCTCATGGGCTGATGGATTTCAGATATTCGTCTCCTTGTTGTTTTGAAGACAAGATTTACTATGACGCTTTTCCACTGTTTTGGTAATCTACCTCGGGTTATAGATAGATTAAGGCATATGTTTCAAGTATTTGGAATAAAATTTGCTAGTGTCTATAGTCATCTAAGATTCCTTTCATCATATCCCACATGTTTACCTTACTCAAGCTTATTCAATTGACCAAAGTTATCGAGTTCTTTAATGGCAAGTCGATAAGCGTTTGATCTAAGCTGGTTAGCAGCTGTAAGGGATACGTAGCATAACGTACTCATTAGTGATCCGGTGTGGTTATGTGACCGAGCGTTTGCAGCTAGATGTGTCGACTAAAACTAATGAGGTCAGTTTCAATGTCGAAGACATACAGATCTATTCATTTTGAGGATGTATACATGACTACATATGTTTTAAATCAACTTGAGAAAATACTTTAGAACCAAGATGTCAATTAACGATAGGCTGAATTCTGAATTTTTAAACCAGGCGTCTCACCAAGCTCATCATCGAAATATTTATTACCACCATTAGTGAAATGAATGTCTGTTTCAGACAAACACTTGATATAGGCAAATTTTTCTCATTTAAAGTACTTGGTACAATGGAATGCACATTATTTCTGAAAACGGAGTTTGCCACACAATAATGATTTTTCAGTTAACTCCAGACATAATATTTGACTGAAGTAAGAAAATGAGTCAAAAACTATCATCTTTAATTCCTTTTTCAGTCGAATACCAGATTTTAAACCGTACAATTTATTTCTCCAGGGTTTCAGGATTTAAATGTATGTCCGATTCATTAGGAATTATGACAAAACCAACGTATGTGTTAAATGCAATACAGTTGAAAAGAAAACCTGCCCATTATTTTTGAGCTTCAAAGGAAATGAAACTACTAGAATGATGAACCGTAGGATCGATGTTGTGATTAAGGTTGCTTATCCATCAGCAAGACTGACGAAGTGTTAAATGAACTGCTCATTCACTCAAACAAAAATGGATAGATCCTCTTTTCTCAGTACTTCCAACTGAATTTAACAGTTTACTTGTACATACCAAAGAGCAGATATCGGATTTCCGAGCACGTTCCAAGGAATTTGAGAGTGAAAGGCGCTGTGTTGTAGTATCGGTGTATATGTTAAGCCCATATACTTTATTCTAGTTGCTGGCCAAGCCAATTCACCTTTCCGTTGAGTCATCTTTTGATCTTCTTAATCATTTGCTTATAAACCTTGACTATATTTTTATATGAGCGTATATGTGTGCACACTTCGTATCTTATTCATCATATGTCTGTCACTCATTTTTGTCTGACTATAAATGTTGATTAACGCTTGCTTAAATCGAGTTGGCTCTCCAGCCATCTCCACTGCATGTCATTTCCGCCTCGTTCGCTTCCTTCGCTTATTCGCCTGTTCACTCGCTCGTTATTATTCGCTCAGGTGTTAACTTTCTAACCTGAGTTATTCGACAATAAACTGTAGTTGCTGCTATCCTTTGTCTTCGGATTTTACGCACCGTTAAGATTAGAATTATAACGGTTATCTAAGTAAACGATTAACGAATCGCGGCACTACAGTGTCTCTATATTGTGCATTAGCTCGGCATTCGATTGATACTGAACACACCATTGACAGTCCACAATCCTCCAGAATTATCAGCAGACAAAGAAACTCAGCGTCTCCGGTTTACTGAAACAGTAGCAGTACAGAAACTCAAAATTGATTTATGTGTCCAGGATGAGACAGTAAACAATGTATCACTAACTTAATAAATTATTACTATTTTGTTATTGTCATTATTATTATTATTACTTTATTAGTGTTTGTTTTGTTATATGATCTTTGTTGAACTAATTCCTATTTTATGTACACCAAAATCATCCCTTTATTCATCGGTTTATTTTCTATACTTAATTCTCTAAATTTATGTAAACTCTTCAAATCCTGATTAGTTGTTATATAACCCATCGTTTTGGTATGTAATCCTAGACAATTACGATCTTAGTGCTGCAAGTGTGGTGTGGTCTACTTATATCCATATAAGTAGTATATGGCGTGGGTCAGACATAGAATGTATTTTGGCAGAAGATCAATGAGGAAAGAACTGAAATGAAGCGCAACCGTTTGGAAAATGCATGAGCAATGAAATTAGAGAAGAAACAGTGAAGATTGAAACAATTGGTTGTTAATTTGCAAATTGACTGTTCATTGTTTGGTTATCAGAATTTACTGAGATAGTCTGTAATCTTTGCTTAAATACATTCGATTGTCCCCAACCAGTGTTCTGTTCATTACACAAGTCTTCTATATCTATTTTCGAGTGGTTTGAGTCTTATGTAAACTCTAAACAACCACTCTAATTATCACACAATCTTTCTTATCTGTTTTCAGGCTTCATTTAGTTACTGACTCACTCACCCCCTATGATTTTGAATTCGATTTCCAAATGATCTAACACCTATTCTTACACAGTTCCTCGTTATTTTAATTTTTTTCGTCATCAATGTCAATTGTTTTCCATTATATCATACCT